CTTCTCACCGAGGCCCCCTTGAACCCGAAAGCTAACCGTGAAAAGATGACCCAGATCATGTTCGAAACCTTCAACAGCCCTGCTATGTACGTCGCCATCCAGGCCGTGCTGTCCCTGTACGCCTCCGGTCGTACCACCGGTATCGTCTTGGACTCTGGAGATGGTGTCTCTCACACCGTACCCATCTACGAAGGTTACGCCCTTCCTCATGCCATCCTCCGTCTGGACTTGGCCGGTCGCGATTTGACCGACTACCTCATGAAGATCCTTACCGAGAGAGGCTACAGCTTCACCACCACGGCTGAGCGAGAAATCGTTCGCGACATTAAGGAAAAGCTTTGCTATGTCGCCCTGGACTTCGAACAGGAAATGGCTACCGCTGCCGCTAGCACCTCCCTCGAAAAGAGCTACGAGTTGCCTGATGGACAGGTCATCACCATCGGTAACGAGAGGTTCCGTTGCCCAGAAGCTCTGTTCCAGCCATCCTTCTTGGGTATGGAATCTTGCGGTATCCACGAAACCGTGTACAACTCCATCATGAAGTGCGACGTCGACATCCGTAAGGATCTGTACGCCAACACCGTACTCTCCGGTGGTACCACCATGTACCCGGGTATCGCTGATCGCATGCAGAAGGAAATCACTGCTCTGGCCCCATCGACCATCAAGATCAAGATCATCGCTCCTCCCGAGAGGAAGTACTCCGTATGGATTGGTGGATCCATCTTGGCGTCACTTTCCACCTTCCAACAGATGTGGATCTCCAAGCAGGAGTACGACGAGTCCGGCCCAGGCATTGTCCACCGCAAGTGCTTCTAAGGTGTTGCACCCAGCTCGGGGGTTTATGATTTTTCACCTGCTTTCTTTTCTTTTTTTTTTTTCTACGCGTGCTCGTACTTCTCGAGCCGTAACCCCTTCACGTATGGATGTACCGAACGTAGGGGGAAGAAAGAGAGAAGAAGGTAGAATGGGGGGAAGCGAGGTTTGGGAAAGGAAAATTACTGAAGTGCCTTTATTCTACACATTTATCAGACTGTACTTTACTTTTTAGTTTGTACAACACGACTGTTTGTTATTAACGCTAATTAATTTATTGATAATAATCTCCTCGGTCATTGCAGCAAGCTCTTCCCGGTCTTGTAAACATGTATTCGCTGACTTACATGTATCGTACAGAGACACACACACATACACACAGATACAAAGGCTTTCTTGAAATCGTAAGCGCACGTAATTTGGCATTTGCGATACGCACGGGGTGGTAATCGACGAGAGTGAAGTATACGATATGAAAAACCATAACCAGGCGCATCGACGTCGGCTCATATTGCTGCCTGGCGTATTGTTCTTATTATATCATATAATTAATGATAATAAAACTGTATTATATAATAATTCAATGTCGGATTATGTGAACCTTATCGCATGCGGTATTTCGGCGAATGCCCAAAAAACTATGACATAACAGACGAGGACAAATTGCGTTTTCATAGACAAAGGACTTCGAGAGAATTATCGTGTTTTGGATTCTCGTGACATTTAACCACAGATAGTGTACTTTGGCAGCCAGCCAATCTGTGTGCAACTACGAGTGACTATATTTTTATTTGCTTCAACAGGCTGGCGGTTTACAGAGTGGCTAAGAAAAACTATTATAATCTTTATATTCTCATAACTCTTTATTTATTATCGCGATTAGGTAAAACTGAAAGTCGAAGTATGTCAGTCAGTAATGTCAGCGTTAAAATTCGTAGAACAAAGGATAGTCTATGTTAAGGATCGATGATACTTCGATCTAGAAATAGATCTACGTTTAGAGATAGGTCTACACCTGTTCAACATTTTACGGAGACATTATTACGAGCCAATTAGAAGATCACATCAACCGTCGCAAATAGAAATAATTAGATTCGTCGTTCCTGCCTAAAATTTACTTCTAGGAAGATCCCATTCATTTCCATATTTTTTCGTGCACATTCTTATTTATCCGAATAACTTTCGGTTTCGTATTCAAATTAATCCTCTGAGGCAACGACCACCATATTTTAAGGCTGTAACGGAAGCAGATTCGACTCGTGTTCGATGCGGTATATCTTCAATTCGAAGGAGGTCGATTATAGACATTTCCTCAAAGGAAAAGCCGTAACCCAAGACGAGCGGTAAAACTGTGGTACAAACAAAGAAATAGCAAAAATAGAGTTGTCGGTAGCCGGCTACGTGGATGCCGTAGCTGTTGGGAGTGCATGCCGGGGGTCCCCGGGATTGCCTCCTAGCCTTACAAGGCCCCCGGGTGACTTACGCTTATTCTGACGCTTCACCGACTAAAATTAGAGCCCACACTATTTGGGATCTATATGCATGCGTGCCTGCACCTGCATGGGGTAGAGGTGCAGCGGTTTAGAACGACTTTATCTCATTTCCTTCCCTTTTGCGAGAGAGAAAGAGAGACACGTGCTAAAAATGTTGATGTTAGAAAATAGATGACTTTACTTAATCAACGATTATTACGGGATGCAGCTCTTTAAGGTGAAATTACGTACATAAATGCTTATCGTATGAATTCGACTTGAATGAAGAAATTCAAGAGTAACAACATAGTATAATTTTTCTGTCCTTTGCGTCTTTTTCTTATCGTTTAATTGTATCAACTCTCTTTTCTCTGAGAGATAATTCATTAAACCTATAAGCCTTCTTGTGGAAAAATTAAAAAAATTATCATGAGCTATGATAAATGAGATTTATTTGATAAGTTAGTAAATAACTTTATTATCTAGTTGCGTGATAACATTGATACGATGCACGTTTAATTTGTTGATGACTAATATATACTGAATAGAAAGTTAATAACTTTATCGATCATCATATGTCTGTATGTAAGTAACCATAATAAATAGTATGTTTGTGATACGAATTAGATATAACAAATATTTCTTATGATAGAATAAAAAATATCTTACCATCTTTTATAAATTTCAATTTATACACTTATGGATATTAGTAAGGTGTGTACATCATTTCGAGTTTATTGAAAATTATTTAATCAAATGCAATTGATTATAAGCATTGAATGTATAATCAAAATTTATTTTTAATTCTGTTTGATAGTAAATTTTTAAATAATCAAAATATTTATTTATTAATATATATTAATATATATATTTATTAATTCGTTAATACACATATACATGTATATATATGCTGATAAGATAATCCATATTTAGCAATTTAAAACACTTATTTAATTTTTTTAATTAAATTACAAGTGTAAAAATTGCCATTTACTTTACATTCAGAATTTGCATATTTCTTCATCTTTATAGTGAAAGGTAAATGACCTACATATGCATCTATACATCCTATATTCAATCATTTTTTGTCTCAACATATGTACGCATCTGTCATAATTATATATATGTATGTAACTTCCTTATCAACAAATAGCAAAAAGTAACTATTCCCACCCATAACCTCGTTACGAGATATAATAGTTACGTTCTATTTTATAAGGAATTTGTTTAAATATAATTTATCAATGTATTCTATGTAAAATGTTATTTATATGTGAAACAGTTGTAATAGTTATTACTGTTATGTTTATTGTGTTAAAATAAAAATAATGGTGTGATGACAAAGGAGACCGCCATTCCTTTTAAGATGTAATCTACGTTTTATCGTGTAATAAAAAAAATAAAATGTTCATAAAAATCCAGATGCATACAAGTACAAAGAAAATAAGTTAGTGAATTATTATTATTATTAATGTGTATATATGAAACGATATACCAAGAATTTAGTAATCCAGTTCAATCGAGAATAAAAAATGCTGAGGTTACAGTATAAAACATCAATATGTCAATACAAGTAATATAAGAATTTAGAAGTGTAAGGTAAGTTTTATAAATAATTGAAACACGTTTATAACAAATAAATATAGTTAAAGGAAAAAAGTATAAAGATTACAAAAATTTGATTTTTTAATAACACACAATTTTAAATAACAGTTTTTTTTATAAAGTAAGTATTGTTTGAGAATATTTATTTTGAATATTATTGATTATTGAATACTAGTGTTTAGAATATTAAGGAAATTTTTTGGTATTGATATTCAAACATGTAGATTGTATTTATTGAACAATATGGAAAACTGATGAAGGAAAGAAAATATTTATTTTACAGATTTATATTGTACTGGCACAAAATGTAATGTTAAAAGTAATATTCTTATATTATGTTTACAATGGGAAAAGTTATACCAATGAGCTGGTTGAACCAGATATTGTTAATTCTAAGTATATTATGTGCATTGTTATCTTTAGTTATACAAGAATGGGCTGGTCTCACACCATTACCAATATATGTATCCATTTTATGGGCTATTTTTCTTATAATAGCATCAGTGTGGTTCAGCTGTCTTTTATTTCAACTTGCATTAAAAGCAAATTGCCCACTTAATATAAAATTTCTTAATAACTGGTTATATGAAAAGCTTACAAGTAATTTGAAGTTATGCGATTATAAAACAGAAAGTGAATATGACAAAAATTGTGAAAATCAAATAGAAATAAATAAAGATATAAATTCTGTACAAGTGTCTAATGAAAACCAGAAGCCATCTACTAACAAGGGTATTTCACCAGAAAGAAAAAGAGCTAGAGAAATAGATAATTTAGTACAAGAAATAAATTTGAAATGCATAAATGTTTGGTATAAATCTATCAGTGATGATGCATCATTCCCTAATGAAGCACAAAAGCTACTAAAAAAATTATTGTCTAAATTATTTCATAAAATCAATTTAATAGACAAAGTAAGACTTACTCATAAGTTGTCTAATGTGTTCTTATTACATTTAAAAGAGTATCATAGGTATGATATTTCATATATATGTTTGTGAAATAACTATATGTCCAAACTAATTGAATTATATTACAGAGCGTTAAGGCGGGTAGAGAAAGGAACTGCACCAAATGTAGAAGAAGCATTTAAGTATTTACATCCTGGTTCTCGTAATGTACCAGCATTAGAGTACATGCTTCATCGAATGGTTTCTATTTTAGCACAAGAATTTTTACAATGGGAGATAACAAGTTCATTACCATGCAAACTATTACTATCTATTTTAGCAAAAAGATTATTAATAGTTATTGAAACAGTAAGTTCTCCAATATGGCTGTTTCAAAGTTTATTAAATTTGTTGCAGCCGGTACCAAAACAAGTTGCCAAAATTCAAAATAAACAGGAAGAAAATGTATCAAACGTAAAAGTATATGCTCATTATTTTATAATGTTTAATTTATTTATTATTAATTATTATCAATTAATGAAATGACTATTTTAGAAGGCTATATCTAGCGCTCTGGGGGATGGTATAACGTCTGCAACTGCAGCTGTGATTCGACGACCATTACCAAATTCAAAATCTGAATCTACTGAAGCTTTAATTGAAAATAAAAATACCTCATTATCCATAAATGATAAGAAACCTACTTTACATTTAAATAATTTAGGTACAGAACATAGAGGTCTATGGGGTCAAGCTATAGACGAAATGGATTCTGCAATAGAAGACAAAATATCTCCTATATATGAAGAACCTACAGATTTTGCTACAACAATTGCTAGACTTAGAACTGTATTACAACAAAAGTCAACTGTAAATACGCCTTTGTGAGTACTAATATCAATGTTTACTTTTGATAATATATCAAATATTTATTTTATATTATATTTTTCAGACATATGGATGAAAAGTCTTATGTAATCAGAGGTAATCAATTTACAAATCTGTCAATTCCTTGGACAGAGTTTCATACAGCTTTTGATGGGTCACAACAGTTACTTTACTGTATTCAATTCGATGATATAGAACAACGTGGAGTTGATCTATTCGAAACCACAACTGCTACTGTTAGAAGACAATACCGCGATTTTGCTCAGTTACATGCTAGTCTACAAGAGGTGAGTTGAATACTTAGTTTACTTATTAATTAAATAAAATATAATTAGTTTATTTTATTGCGTTTGTTTTTTTTTATGTATATTTTACTTTATTTTATTTTATATAATGTAAAATTTACAGGCCCCTGAATTAGCACCTGTTATGTCAAATTTGGTGTTACCAGCAGGTGGTCGTCTTGAATTAGAGAATTATTTAAAGACATTAACTGCTCGTTTGCCGAATGAATGTCCATCGCAATTACGACATTTTCTAGATCCAAGTAGTGGCATTAATAAAAAAGCAGATGTAGTTGCACCAGGATTTGAAAAATTTTTGGTCAAAACAGTAAGTGGTGTTTTTAATACCCTAAAAGTAGTCGTTTCAGGTTTTGAAATAGATCAAGAGGAAGAAAATGTTCTATTACCTACGTTAATGCCGTTAGCTGATATTCCATGGAGATTTATTGAAGATATTAAATCGGTAATTAAATATAAGTTTTAATGAATATTAATAAATATTAAATACAGAGAGATCATAGATAGACTTAGCTTTATAATTAATACAAAAATTGTATTTTATTGTAACAGAAAAGCTTAGCAGGTAAAGTTCAACAATTATTAACTGAACGAACTGAATATTCTTCCGTGGACACTGCTTATGAAGCTGTTGACTCAATGGACAGTACCAATGATTCTGCATTATTAAGTCATTGGTGGGAAATTATAAAAAGTTCTTCTGAAGGTAAGTATATTGTATAATAAAAATCATTAAATGTGTTATAAAAAGGTTTCTACTTCCTTACTTTTATTTTGCAGAGGATATTGATGAACTAGATTCACATTTAACATTAACATGTGTTATTATAGACCTTATTTGTGAATTATTGACAGGTATTGGAAGTAATAATGCATTGCAGCAAGAAGCTGTTGTTAGATGGACAAAGCTACTCCTTGGAAACGTTACTGAATCTGTATTACAAGTAATAATTTAAATTTCTTTATTACCTTTTATCATTGGAAGAAATATTATTATTTTGATGTCCAATTACGAATTTTTACATGATTTGCAGACTGCTACTTCGCGAATTTTTGATCATTTGAGTAATGTATCACTTCGTACTGTACAAAATAAACTTTCCAAAGAACCATTAATTTCACTAAGAGAAAGACTGTTGCAAGAAATATTCATAAAAGTTCCAAATGATATAAAATTAATATTTGGCGAAGATGATACATTAAATATTATAAAGTATTTACTTGATACTTATGAAATAAAAAAAATTAATATGGACTTAAACCTACAAATATTAGATGTCCTGGCATCACAGTTGTTAAGTTCATGTAGGTCAAGTCATAGTAAAGCTCCTTTATAGTTCCATTTAAATAACAATTTTAATTTAACTCAATAACAAGTAATAAATTCAATTCCTTTTGTTCAATCCTATTAAATTATTAATCTAGTTAGAATTACTAGAAATTGATAGTTATTGTGAAATATATTTCAGTCAAAAGGAATTGATGTGCTACATGTACATAATCTGTTGTCTTGATAATGAAGAATTATATAAAATTTTCAAAAACAAACTGTGTACCTGATTACATATTTATAATAAGGATGCCAAGTATTTTTTTCATTAGTATACTACAACTCATATGAGTTTTGTATAATGTATTAATTCATATTAGGTACAACATGCATTTATTGTACATTTATATTTAATGTTTAAGTTTTGTACAAATGTTTATGAAAAATTATTATATTTCTCATTTAATAAAAGTCTATTAATATATATAATATATAAAATAAAATTTAAATGTATGCAAAATCTTAATAGACTAATATATATTTATTCTTATGAATAATAATACATAATTTATAATTTAGTTAAGATTCTTTTCCTTTGTCTTGAGCCGTTTGTTTTTCTAATTGTGCTCTGAAACATATAATTTTATTTTATACAATTTTATAATGTATGTTTTTAATATATATTAACTAATATTCATTCATCAATATCTATTGTTAGTCATGTTTTATATATATGAACATTTCTTAATTTTGTTTGACTTTAAAGAAATTTATGATTTTTGTTATCAGACAATTGTATATTTGTATATTTTATATATTTTATTATAAATAATTGTATATTGTTTAATATACAATTGTATATAATACAATTAGATAATCAAAATATTACTAATAAGATCAAACTTTTAATTATTTGCTTATTTATAAATTGTGGGTAGCATGTACTTTTTGAAATAATGTTATGACAAAAATTACCGCAATTGCTGATTAAAGTCATCTTCTACATCATCATCATCCCAGTTGTCTTCCCAAACACTAATATCTTCATTGTCTTCATCAACTGCAGTCCAATCTATCAAGTCATTCAATTAAGTTGAGGTTAGAATGCCATATAATATTTTTATATTACTGCATTAAATTGTCGTACCTTCTGCAGGGAACTCTTCAAATTCATCATCTTCCTCTAATAACCCTAGATCGATTTTTGCTTTATCATTTTTACTTTCTGACATTTTGAGATTTAACACTTATCACTTAAAAATAATTTTATATAAGTTGAAATGCGTTTGAATTTTCTAGAGACTTTTCTTGCTGTATAAATCAAATATTCAAGACTACCAACTCTGAAGTAAGAAATGATAAAAATTATTATAATAAAATCAATTCAAAATACAAAAGATCAATTACTAGTTTTAAGATATTTTTTTTATAGCTGAATAATAATTGTATAAAACTAACATTCTTTGTCAAATATTATAAATTTTGCAGAAAAAAATAAAAGTAAACTTTATACAAACGATAAAATTTATGTTACTTAGTTTGAAATAAAAATGTACAATTTAACAGAAGAAAGTTTACATTTTCAATTAATTCTTAGGAACTTTTTTCTTCCTAAAATTTTTATTCGATAAAAATAAAAATAAAAATATACTGTGATTAAATATGTCATATGAAAACGATAACATAAAAAATAAATTATGCAGCATTTGGTGTTATGTTAGTATAAAATACAAAAGCATATGATTCTGCATATGATTCTAGTAATTGAGTTAGGTTATAAAAATAAACTCAATACTATTATAATAAAATTACATATAATTTAATATGTTAACTACGTACTATTAAATAATTTTCATTTTTAAGTAAATTAATACAATACATACTGATTAAATACATTATATCTGTTTTAAATTTTGATGAATCACAATTTTTTTTTTATATATATAATATACCTCGAGTTGAAGATTATCGTAACAGTCACGAATAACCATTGATAAAAATAATTTAGGATATAAAAATGAATGATGATAATATTATCTCATCAGTGCTGATACAAATAATGATATGAATAAAGTTGTGACAGAATGTAGGATTAGTTAATGTATTATTTTAATATATAGCAAAGTTGAAAATGAATTAGGTATTGTATTTCAATGAAAAGAACATTATAAAGAATAGCTGTTATACAAATGTATATGTATGACAGAGTTTGTAACTTGGCAGCATTTAGAAATATGTTGTTTACTTTTTGTTCTTTATTTCTCTCATTCGATATGTATTCATTTACGTAAAAAACCATTTATATTTAAAAATTATTCAATTTCTGATTGATTCATACCATGATTTCGAATTTGCTTCTTTCAGACAGATTATCCGAAAAACCGATTATCTCAACAGATTTGTTCTGTTATTAATTCAAGTAATCAACTTTATACTGTACTGTAATTATATATTGTATTGGTAAAGAAAATATATTATTTTTATCACGATATAACAAGTAAAATTATTGTAGTTATGTATACATTTAAAATCAGCGCCAAAAGTAACTATATCTCTATTAAATCACTAGGTTGCCTTAAGCATTGATAAACACGCATATTCGTTTATTGTCTTCTATAGTGTATATAATATAATATATTCATTAAATAAATAACTTTTTTGTTATACAATTAAGTTAAATTATGGGATATATTGTGCAAAATAACAATTTCAAATGTATAGATAAGCATAAAATTGTGATTTTGTGCCGCAGTGGGGCGACACGTTAGCATAGATGGAAATAAAATCATCAATCATTGCCTTCTTTCATACATTCCATACGTGCTCGTGTTGTTGCGATCAAGTGATTCGTAGTAGTTGTCGAGTGTGAAAGAAGACAACTGTTAACGCAGAATGGGTTTAGAGGATTATAAAGAATTTGTGGCATTATGTGCCTCAATTTGTACAATGGGTCATATGTTAGCTGGAACGTAAGTTGAGAAATTTCAAACCTTTTTTTTTCATTTAATTTGTACCTTCATTACAAATACAACACTTGTTTCCTATTAAAAAATACATATTTTTAACTGAAAGTGTTTGACATACTCAGTAGGTCTATTACTCACAGTTTAATATTTACATTTACGTTCAGATTATTTTTTTGATTTTCATGGCACGTGATATAGTTAGTAAATAATTGATTTTTTGTTTCTATAATATTTTATGATAAGATTAATGTAATTCTTATTATGTTGTAAGAATACTGATTGTAAATTACACAATAAAAGGAAAACATATGGCTGTACTTCCGAAAAGTCCCAATGTCAAATGAATTAAATATATTGTACGAAATATTTTTTATTAATATCTCAGAAACTGATAAGTACCCGAAGTTAAAATTTTATATTTAGGGTTTAATCTCCTTCTCCCTTTTCTCCCCAAAATTCTGTGCCGATCGGCCACTGGGGTTTTCCGGAAGAATATCAAAATGTACTTATATACTGGTTAATATTTAATCGTCCAGCAGCGTACGCCGAGATCCATAATTGCTTCGTTTGTATACAACGTTAACTAATAGTCATAAAGTGGTTGGCACGCGTTGAGGAAATTACGTATTATGTAGTAATTGTATAGGCATTAAATTCGAATAAATACTTTGTATTTTCTAAACCCTTTTCTTACTATTCCCATGTTAATATTTGATTTTTATAAGCTATATAAATGAAATTTCGAAGCGAGTCAAATTGTCGCGCGCGATGTCTACCATGCACGTAATTGTCTCTACGCTTTCCCAATGGTGAAAAGTAGTTCTAAGGTTAATTTAAATTCCTTCTAAAAGTGTCGTAATTTTCCGAATCATTGCATCACAAATAATTAAACTATGGTAAATTGTCGTACTACCACTTTCTCACCGATTCCGATAGGCTTGAAATATGTTCTAAAGGGCGTCATTGCGAACAACCTTTACCTTCAAAAAAATTGGCGGTCGATCCTAGTTTCCAAAATATTTTCGGGAAACTATTGCTACTACCACATTGAAATCTATCTATACACGCCTGTGCTATGAATGTTCACGGTGGTATTTGCAAGTTCCAAATTTTATCTCATTGATCTTTACAATCTTATCGAGGCCTTCTAATGGCGTGCAATTATCTCCCGCTTATTTTACGCGCAACTACAACACAAATTACTGAAGCCATCAAAGAGTCTCTTATCTTGCGATTTCAACGTTTTTTGAACATGTTATAAGAAACGAATGATTTCAGATTCTGAATTGCGTGGTCGGCCGTCTCACGGCGTCCGGAATATTAATTTAAATTTAACCTAACCTAACTTAACTTAATCTATCCAAGTAGTAGATCAGCTTAGGTTAGGTAAGAGCAGTATCCTACTAGTATATAGTACTATAATAGTATATACTCTTTTAGCTTTATTTGTAACAGATACATGTATATATTTTTATATACATTTCATAAGCCATTTTCATACAAGTAATTATGTTACTGGTAATTATTAAGGAAGTCAACAGGATCTTCGATTTCGATGATTTTTAGATACGTTTTAGAAATCAACGTTTTAAACGACTTTCTCTTATGCATATATAATCGCCGCTCAATCTTAGTTTTCGAGATATTTGCAAGAAACTATTGCAACTGCACGAAATTCGACACGCATTTATAGTCTGTGTGTATGAGCTTAGAATTTTAGAATAACCGTTTACCTACCGTTTCCATAAACATATCGTCATGAATAGCAATGCTGTTACAACATTCAAGGTATACATACAATGGGTGAACTTAAAAACTAAACTTTACCATTCTCAGTGATTTTGGAATAATTTTTCGAAAGGTTCCAGTAGTTGATGAAGAAATTTGGAGGAAAGGGAGAAATCAATCTTAAAATTAAAATTTGATCTTTGGGAATGTAATAGTTTCCGAGATATTAATAAAAAGAACTTTTGATAGAGTAGACGGAATTTGATTTATTTTATATGGTTCCTTTCAGACATCGTCTTCGTGACGAGTAAAATACGACGTGAAGGAAAAGCTTGACTTTGAAAATCATGCTCAAGAACCATTTTGCAACTACTTTCTTTTAAACAGATTTTCATTGATTTGAAGATGTAGAATCACGCTGTAATGGTCATGATATTTAATTTTCATACACCCTGTATAAAATTAAGCAATTAACTAGGAATCTTAGAAAGAAGTGCTGAGATAACATGATTCATGAATATATCTGTGTGTAGTTATCTAATAATGTGCATGTACAATAAAACGTTGATTATTCGAATTAATTGGAAGATAAATCTGTTCAGATGATAATTGAATAATCGGAAGAACTGAATTTTGAATTATGTCATATATCAACTAGAAATTAAATGATTAAATAATTATAATCAATATTTTTTATGTGAAAAGATATATACCTAATAAGATAAATGTAAAATAGGACATAAATGATTTAAACAATTTCAGTATTCGGATAATCAGTCATTAGTATAATAAAAATTCCCATAATTGACGTTCAGATAATCAATATTTTACTTTAATAGTTATTTAGTATCCTAATCTATAAAACGAAATATTTAAAATCATATCTTTTCATTTCATCAATTCGACATGTGGTTTTATATAAATTTATTAATATTAATTTTAGGTATATACAATAATTAATAATAATATTTGATTATCATTTAATTGTAGATTTACGTGTAAGGATATTTATCGAAAAGGCTCATCCAAAGGTTTTGATCCAATGCCCTTTTTGGGTGGTATAGGAATGTGAGTGCAATACTTTATTATTTAATTCAGAAGTCATAATGACAAATAAATTGCGTTTAATAGTATTTAGAATATTCTGCTGATTGTTTTATTTTTGTAAAGTGGAGATATTGAAATCTAGTGTTGACATTTTTGTAACAGAAGTGTTTCTCAGATCATTTTCTGTTTATAATTGTAAAAAAAAAAAAAAATACTATAAATTATAACATAAGGGATATGTATGTACATATATAGATAGATCAATAGTGGATATAAAATTTGTTATATAGGTGCATTTTGATGCTTCAGTATGCATGGATTGTGAGGGATCCTGCAATGATTAATGTCAATGTCTTTGGATTACTCACAAATACAGTATATATGGCTATATATTATTATTATTCACCACAGACGGTAAGAGTTTATATTTCTAAATTAAGAAGCATATAGAAAATACACAAACGTTTATAAATTCATTTTATTATTTCCGAATATTGCTAAGAGTATCGACACTTTCAAAATAATTTATTTTAACATACTATATATATTCCCCATTTGCAAATTAATGCACAGCCAACCGATTATATATTAAATATATAATGAGACTTTTTTTTTTTTTTTTTTTTTTTTTTTTTAATTTCAATCGATTATAATAAAATATAAATATACCGATAGTTCAGTATATGTCGTGTCTTTATGAAGAACGAAAGTATTTGCTAAATTTGGGAACAAATTTCAGGCCAATATTTCTAACTGTACCACTGTCTGCATAAATATTTTATATCAGATCTTATGCATTTTTAGAAGGATACGCTTGCTTTAATAGGAAAGGCAACGATTTTTGTAATGGTCTTCCTTGTGTATGCACAAATGGAAAGTCCCGAGAAGATCGAATATAGATATGGTTTAATCGTGACAATACTATTCTTCTTCTTAATGGCATCTCCACTTATACATTTAGTAAGTAGTATTTCATGAACTTCGTACGTATCTTTCCTATAAAATTCAGTGAAAAGTTTAACGATATTTCTCAAAATTCGTCGATGGATTTTCTTAATTTCTCTCTTTTTGTTTTCCTTTTTTTGTGTATTTTGTACGAAACTCGACGAGATATTCTATAATCATTACACAACGATCTTATATTGCGCCAAGAAATTCTGAAAAGTTGTAAGCCGTGGCAAATCATGCGAAAAGCGTGTAATCAAACAAAATAGTAATTGCGAAACTAGAATGGAAATTTTGAAACACTGTTATTGTAGTTTCGTTTCAATGAAATCTATGAAGTTTCGACAGTTGCGATTGTATCTCCGATGTTTTATTAAATTTTAAATTGACTTTGAGTTGCTATAATTTTCTCGATAAAGTTTGCATATCGAACGTTCGAATTTTAGTGTATTTTATTACGTGTTGTATAAATTTCTCGTTGATCGGGGGAGTGGTTAATTTGTTCGAATCTATAGCCGAACATAAATAATTTTTCTCTTATTTTCACATTCAAAATCGTAGATTACCTTACTTATCGCGTAAACTCTGCTAAAAATATTTCTATCTTTATGAACGCGACGTGTTATCATATAAAATAAATTTTGTTTTATCAGATCTAATTTGTCAAAGCATTTGACTGTATTGAATATGACAAGTGAGAAGAATTCGAAGAATGAATGTTATCAACACACATACAGAGTTCAATGTAGTAGTGTCGACAATTTTTGCAAATATCTGGAAAACTATGACCGATCGCCAATTATTGTTTAAATAAAAGTTATTTAGGGTCTCGTTTTTTATAACGTACTTTAAAATTATGATAATTAGTTTACACGTCCTGTAGTTTAAAAAAATTTTTTTTACAAAGAAAATAACTATATAATGTATATTTCTTGTAGACATTAAATTACAGCATTTTCTGAAAAAATCGGAAAAAAATAAGTTGATTTAAGGTAAAGTCATTAATGTAAATTTTTACCTATATTCCTTTAGTATATATATTTTTATATACCTTTGCCATGTTAAATATTAACATTATATAATCTATATGAAATAAATAAAATTTGTTTCGACTAATTACAGAAAGTATTTTAATATGGAGAATAATTAATTCGGTAATGTTATTATAAATAGATATAAATAAATATAAGTAAATATAAACAAACAAATTATAAATGTACATGGCAATAATCTCTAAAATATTGTGGTATTCGAATATTAATGTAAAATTAATGGAATAAATTTTAAAATATGATATTGTTTAAATTATAATCTTATATTTGATGTTATATAACATATGTACTGTAGGTAACCTTCGTATCACGTAAGATCACATTCAGCAAGTACAATTTGAACAAAACTAAAAATGGTACATAAAGCTAATATATACATACACATTGTCTGCTTTTTATCTAGAATTGATGGAATATCTGGGAAACGATGAAAGATAGAAAAAAAATGTTAAGGCAAGAATTGCTTCATATGAATGGGGACAGTGTGGTATGAATGTCTTCTTTGTGAAGGAAATGATGGATGAACTGTCAAGGTCGTTATTTTTTTTTTTTAATAAAATGCTATATCTTTTTTATACAATACATATTGAAAAATCGGACATTAATACGAATTCAAGGATTTCCTAATAGTATCATTTGGTTCAGTGGAAAGTCTTCAAAATTGGTGTAAAATATATGTATGTATAAATTGCGTTATATAAGACCTAATTACAATTTATAAGTCGTGGTTTATTAATACCACATTATACGAGGGTCACCTGTATGCTTTATACATAGATTTTCATAATTATGTTCTTTTTACAAATTTTGCTGAAGTATTATTTTGAAATTACTTAATTTGAAAATGTGTATATAATATGTACATTTTGATGAAGCAATTTATTATCCAGCTATTTATTTATTTATCTATTTATTATATTTTTCCAACGGGAAGAATCAGCATCTGTTTTTATTCCATGACAATGAATATCGACCAAAGTCTACTTCATCAATTGGGCCTTTTTTGTTCTCTCACTTGTCTCATTAGACGATCTATTATATCAGTCAATTACTCCGTGATATCGTGTTGCATTCGTCGTGCTTACAGCTTTAAATTACAGCTAATACGAGAGATCACGTTTTATAATTATATTAGAATAATAATTAAACCGAGCTATTGATTATTAACAACAGTTTCGATGCTAATTGTAAAAACTGTGACACAGTATAATTATTCGTTTAATTTAAATCAATTATTTAATAGTTTGATGTTATGCGATCATTAGGAAATTCATAATTTCTAGAAGTATTGCACAATACACAGAAAATATTGTCAGCTTCGTTGTCTGCATGAAATAAATAATGCAAAAGTTTCACGAATAATTTTTCAAGTAATGCGAAATTAAATATTTATTAAGTATATGTAAGATGCATTTATATTCTATGTAATAATATTTCTTTTCTCTTTTCATTTATCAGAAACAGATTATACAGACAAAAAATGTGGATATCCTTCCATTTCCGCTCATATTTATGGGCACCATCGTAACGTTTTTGTGGCTATTGTATGGCATTATAATTAATAACACTTTTATCATTGTAAGTAGAGTATCTAATTTCTATTCGTTCGAGCAAACTAATTGCTCCGAGATACATATTATTTACTAATATGCTATGTATTTTATAGTTTCAGAACTCGGTAGGCTTCGTTTTGTCTGCGACGCAAATGTCATTGTTTGTGATATACCCTTCGAAATCAAAAGACAAAGTTACCAGTCAAGAGAAGAAAGACTAAAAATAAAAAAAGTGAAACGACAATGGTTAAAAGTGGTTTTAACTCTCACATTTTTTCTACGCGTATACAATTAATTATTAAAATAAAGTGAACAGATACGAACATTTATGATAGTCAACGCCGTTGAACAGCTACTGGTGTTTGCCTAAATAACTTTATAAATGAATGCGAATTATTCACTGAAATGTTCACTTTTGTAAATCGTGAAATTATACTTATCTGAACATAAAATTTTACAAACATATCATTTGATTTGATATTACCTGATTTTGCTTTTCGATCGACAAAGTTGATAGTGCAAAAAATTAGTGTTTTAGTTTCGAATAGTTATGTAAAATGATTAGTTTAATACGTATTACAGCAGGTAGATACAGTTAGTGAGAATAATATTCGAACACTTTTATAATTTTGATTTGTATACTTTATATTTGGATTTATGCAGAAACAAAAGGGAACATTAATATTCGGAAACTTTATAAATTTAAATTTAAGCTATATTACAATTTTGGGGGTAAATTTAATGATTGTTTGAATGTATGTTATATTGAATAATACATGTACATAAAAAGAAATTATTAAAAATTATTTTTCATTAATGAATTACGTTAATATAGAAGTGAAAATTATAATGGTGTGCGAATATTAATGCGAGTAACTGTATGTGAAATTGAATAATTATATGATAAATCAAAGAATTAATAGTTTAGGGCATCTGTACACATTTTTGGACTATTATAATAGTAAATTGTATTTGAAACGAACATAGCTCTTATAATTGCTAAATATAGTTTTATTAAAATAAAGAGTTTAATTATTCAGTTAAAAAGATATTTTTTATTTGAATAATTTCTAAGTAGTATTCTAAGCTTGTGTATAGTTTAAATATGAATTTGTATTAAATTATGTTTCTACGCAAAATATAAGAGTATGAAAACCTCCAAATTTATATTTTTTTTAAATCTGTAGATCATAAAATAAAAAAGCCAAGGTAAGGTATTCTCAACATCTGTAAATGTATATTTAGTTATAAATTAAAATTTATCATAAATATACCCACTGTACGTATAATAATGGCATAATGTAACCCAACGCAAAAAGCGAGGATCTCCCCTTGTATTCATCTAATCAAACGTTATATATAAAACAGGAAGATCTCTTCAATTGGTTAATAATGCTTCAAACAGTGGCAAATTTACGTAAGTAACTACATATATTAACTTTTCAATATCAATGACAAAAAAATGTCAAATTAATTAATCACTTTTAATCAACTCATAGTACTGGACGTTTTTTGTTATCTATTAAATTAAAAGAAGATTGAAAGATTCATTTCTGGAATTTCAAGTATATATCGCCAATTTCATAGCAGAAAATCTTCGAATTTCTACTCTTCTCTAGCCAAAAAATCGTCGAGTGTAAAGAGTTAATCTTCTCTCACGCGTGAGGATTATAGCGATCAATCCTGGCCGCAGGAACCTTATCTTATCTTTGTTGGTTGTTCGAAAGTCACGGCTACCATTCTTGTTAACAGAGGACTGTTTCTTCTTCAGTAGAATTCATTACGTAAATTCAATTCTACGTTTATTAATAAACATACGAGTAGCATACTTCTCAATGACTGACACGGTCTTACCTGATGCGGAACGTGTACTTGCCTCGGTCGAATCTGCGCTATTAAGAATAACCAAAGGTGATTACCATTTTACTTTCTACGGGGCCACGTTACACAGCATGCAAATGCAATTCTCCTGGCAACTGGTTGTGCTTCCTTGCGATTTACGTCTGCGATGGCTCGTTAGTAGTCGCTCTTGGTATCGGTTTATTATATGAGCGACGTACATCATCGCTTGACTTTCTGATCGAGTTTGCTGGCTAATAGCAGGAAACAGTGACCTTCTATGTAGACAGTAGCATGTCTGGTATATCGTGGTCAGTAACGTGTCCGATTGTTCCACCGACACTGGCGCTCTATGCTTTTTCCGTCCATCGTTTGCACGCGCGAATACCTTTTTGTCATTGGTCGATCGGAATCGGACTGAAACGAAGAAGTAGACTTATTTTGCAAATTACACAGATAATCGTTATCTTGCTTTTCCTCCGTAATTTCATACGCTTGTTAGTAGTTCTATACAGTGCCAAATGCAGTTTATGTTGATCGTAATGGAGCAAAGACATCAGTGACGTGTATTTCAGAATTCTGATACTGTAATATTGCAGATTGCAATGGTTTTTTGTATTAACAAACGCTTGGTTTGCGATACCTTGAGTAAACGATTTAATTGTTCAGTGTCCAAGATTAATGTCGTTTTTCTAGCTGGTTACGGTATTCTAATCGCTGAAGAATAATCTGAAGGAAGGTGGGATGAGGTGAGTGTGTCCCCTTCAATTTTCATCAACTTCTCGATACTTCTTCAATTTATTTAATCATTTACCTCGTGTTAAGGCGAAAAAATTAATTTTTCAGTTTTTGATCATGTTTCGAAAATAAACGTAATTTGGATAATTTAATTTCGAGGAATGTAATAAATGAAATTTGTTTCCTTGTACGTATACTTGTTAATAAATCATCGTAAGAGCGTTAATTAATAAAAATTGTAGAGAGGTCAATATACATTAAATGTCTTTAAAATATTCGTGAAAATAATCTCTTTTTTGTTGAAAAAAGTTATATATAAACCGTCCAAAAATCCGAGAAAAATATTGAACTTGCATTTCTCTACCCTTTTAACTCTCTTTTCCCATAGGTACGCAGCCTATCAATGAAATATTTCATCTCAGTAATTTTGATAAAAATAATACAGAACAATGCATATAATCTTGAATTAAAATGGACAAAAGATTCGAAATATTTTTCTTCACTCACCTCGATGTTCTCAAAACTAGAGCCTAAAAATGACTTACTTCGAACTGACACGTTCATCGCAAATTCGTAATGATATTTACCTTGGAAAAAGAAAACAGTTATTCTGCTAAATTATTTCTGCATAACCTTTTGCTGACAAAAGAATCGTGATTCATGTCTGTCACATTCGAACCGCGATGTACGTCACGAGAGTGTGATTGGGTGTCATAAGCCAACAGGTTAATTGACTTTGTACAACGTGAAATTACAATTAAAATCTGTCGTTTTGTACCCCTCGAGGAGTCCCCGCGATGCACCCGAGCTGACTGGTAAAGGACAAGACAGAGACAAAGGAGATGAAAAACGGTGCAGAAGAATGATTTCTAATCTGGAGAAATCTAGTCACGAACGAGGTTCGATCGCTGCTGGTAACGTCGTGTGTGCAGTGCGCATCCACAAAATTCCCGTCTGCGCATGGTTCCCTTCGCAATTGATCCCGAGTGTGCGCCTGAGCTGGTTGTTAGTATGTGCACACACAGGAAAATAGCTGGTTAACGTGAGCGTGCTTCTGTTGTGTGGAGGTGGACTCGTTATAACACCTGCTGCATCCCCTGAGCCTCTCGTCGAGTCCGAGTCATGTGGATCAGCTGATGGTTCGTATAACAGAGCACACCGTTGGATAAGGAGTTCGAAATACGATAAGGGCCGTCTCCGAACGGTGTAAACGTAGTTTCCGTGCTTTGGGGTACGTGTATGTGTTTGACAAACATTTTCCACCGTCGAGCATCCACGATCTTACGTACACGTGCTCCCCTTTCGAACGGTGTAAACGTAGTTTCCGTGCTTTGGGGTACGTGTATGTGTTTGACAAACATTTTCCATCGTCGAGCATCCACGATCTTACGTACACGTGCTCCCCTTACTTTTTTTATGGGACATAACGAGAAATTCGGTGAATCTGACGAGTACGAGTGTTAGATGGACTTGGAAGGGGTTATAATGCCTTTTTTTTATAGCAGAATCAGAAGATCTGTCGACTGTTGAATTAGCGACATAGTAATTTTTAGAGAAAAATAGTAGGATGGATGATGTACATCTGATGCGATTCAATTAACGCGAATTCACAGGAGTTGAGATTTATTGTATCGTTGAATGTATGAGGACAGTTTACAAAGATCTTATCTCTTTGTTGTATTAGAAATATGTAACTAGTAGATTTATTTTAATGAGCACACTTTAGCTATCGGTTCCTCGTAATTTCTTTATTCATGTATTTTAAGTTACTATAATTTGTAACTTTCAAAAGTATCTTAACAATAAATTGGGATTAGAGTAGATTATTTATTCCATATTAATTTCATTCTTATTAATTCCATATTAATTATAGTTAGTCCATTATTTTTACATGCAAACTTTTTATTATTTTTGTATATGTTTACTGTTTCGAGAAGCTCCTTTTCAACTTTATGAGACTCTCGTTCAATTTTACATTTATATGAACTGACAATTATGCAAAGTAGGAAATATCAGATTGAAAGGAGAGTTTTTTAATTACGCTTCTAATACATATTGATGTCCCTTTAAATATAATATTGATGTGAGAGTATCTTATTTGATGTTCTCAATTGATAATATGTCAATAGAGATGCGATTACGCGTTTATGAGCAACCAATATTAAACAGATTTATCAAACGAGGAACAATTAAATTACGATTAAAAAGTAATTGTACAAAAAGTTTGGTTAATAATTAGTTATTTGAATTAATAGCTCAAGCAAGTAATTTACTGTCGAAAAAAGCACCATAATTCCATGCATGACAATTACAGATAATAAATTATATATTGAAAATAATTTTCATAACGTCAATGAATTTGTAAAATTAAATGATCGATAAAGATTGATTGATCACGCGAATTATCATTCCCATTAATTTTATATATTTATCGGTACAATACAAAAACACGGATATCCATATGAAATAATTTTCTCGGTTAAACTTACATAAGCAAACTTGTTTGAAAAATTACAAAATTAATTTGTAATTGCTTTACAGTAAATATTGGTATCAAAGATTTACAGATAAATCTATTTAGTATAATAGAGCAGCAAAACTTCGATCAACCGAACATCCATTATTAGAGCATTCGATTATCCGAAAAATATCGACATAATTGACGGGAAAATAAATATTCACCCTAGAAAATTTATTAATTTGATACTTTAGAAAAATTAAGAAGACAGATCAGAAATAAAAACGAAAGAAGAAAATAATTCTAACATGGATGTGTAATGATTAAAACATAAATATGTAATAATTCGAACACAGCTTTCATACTAAATGCAACCACAATTTGAATAATTCGATTACACGAAAAATTCGATTATCCGGTTGTTCTGACACTAATTAATTCGGTCAATCGAAACTTTGCGTATTTTATTACGAGACAATTCGTCGGTGAGGATCGATAGAAGTAATATTTAATTTTCAGGCGTTTTTTCTGGATGTCAAGGTGGACAAAGTAATTTTTCAATCGCCCTTTCTAGGCAAGTTCGTAAATTATGGACGCCATGGAAAGTAGAACGTTTCCCTTCGCGTTCACATGGCAGAAGCTCATCCAGAAACGGCAGCCCTCTCCCATTAGACTTAATATCAATTTAGAGCACAATACAGAGAGTATTTCGATGCCATGTAATTTGCTTGAACGTTCGTTAAGTATACCAGGACAATTATAACCGTATCCAATAATGACGAGGTCGCACGAGTCAGTCAAATGATTGCAACACGCGTCCTTAAGGATCTTATTAGCTAACAAGACACGCTAATTCTGAATTTTCAATAAAAATTTACGGGGATGGAAAAAGTGGAATAAGAAAAAAAAGTGGTACAAGTTTATGTTCGTGAGGATTTATGCAATGAAAATAACAGAAATATCGGAGATGTTAGGATTATATGATATTTACAATTTATTATTTTATTTATATAATTTAATATTGGAGTAAAATAATATTTTACTTATTGTATACTCGTTATGTTTATATATGTACGTGTACATTTATTTGTGTTTTGTTTGATTTATTTATAATAACATATTCTACAATAAATATAGAAAATATTCCCACATTTATTTAGTAAATTATTATTTAATAAATATTGAACATATGCTGCTATGTAATACAATTTCCATGTGACATATTTTAAAGTCAGATAAGTAATTAACGTGTTGCCAGTATAATTGAAAGATTATATTTATATTATATTTTAATTATTAGTACACATTCTTAATAACGTTTGTTTAAAAGTATTTATACTTATTTTCAGATTTCTAATTTCATATATTTTCAATGTTATATATTCATTATTAATTTGATGGACTGTAATGTTTATAACATATCTATTATTTGTAATATAGCTTAGTTTTCTGGGTTAAACTGTTGCCAATATCTTAAATATTAAAAGGCAAGAAATTAATGGAAGATACGATATGCTTATTATTTTGTCATTAATATCTATTTCACAGTTAATGACACCAATGTAATTAATTTGACATTGACCAATAACTCGATGTTTTAAAAATGTAAAGAAAATATTTATAGTAAGTCATACACATATAATTGTTTACTGTCTTTAGTATAATCAACAGTAACTAATGATACACATTTCCATATTTATCAAAAAGTAATGTATATTTTTCAAAATATATTTTTCTTTTAATAAATAAATGAATTTATAACATTAAATGATTTCAAATATGCATTACTAGATTTATAAACATGAACATAGATGAGGAGATATTAATTACGAGGACGATTTTAAATATCATTTTTTTATTTCGTGTAATATATCGAATATGTATGTCTAAATATAATAAATTAAAGTGTGGGATTGATTTGTGTTCATTCACGTATAAGATGAATAGAAATTGGGGACATATGGCATGATCGATTCTACAAATAGTCACTGTACACGTGTAATTTCAATATGAAGCCACTAGTTAAAGGACATTGATAAGAAGTAAATCACTCAATTAGTTCTTATACACATTTGTCTGCACGATACCATAAATCTCGATATGTGTACTATAATTTTTAGAATTTTAGAAGAACTTTAAAAAGATATTAAAATAACTGAAAGTAACAAATTAATTAGTTAAAAATTCTGAACGTTTATTTGTATTTTTTTATTGGTATATCTTTTTTGAAAGAAATCTATATAAAAGTGAAAAATATTTTAGGTGATATTACAACATTTTACTCGTGTGTTTTTATGGGTAGATAATATTTTGTAATTTTTTTAAACAGAGAGATGTTAGATAATGATTGTTACAAATGAATATGCTCGAGAAAAATTTGTAGAGAAATTAATTATCCGTTCGTACATTTTCCATAATGAATGTAGGCCACAATCGGTATGTATCCAAAGTTAGGTATTGTATAGTGGTGACAGATGTTACGAGATGGTTTCAAACCCACATTTACAGAAACTTTCATATGACAAAAGTTTTCTGTTCAGATCTTTCAACATT